TATAATAAATGTTGAATCTATCTAGTCTGAGCTTAAAGTTTCCAATGCAAAAAAAAAATGTTCATAGAGGGGATTTAGGGGAGTGGGACTACACTACAGAAAAGTGGAGCGTTTCACTTACCACTGCATGTGATTTTGTAGGGTTTCATTCTTTTATTTTTCGCCATGCACATGTACTTTCATAATTCATATGTAATAATTTTTGAAATTTCTGTTTAGAATCAGTGTGTATTCCCTCCAGACAGTTCACATTGTCCCATTTTGATTCATTATTGGAAGAGAATCACATGCATTTCCTTATATGTCACAGATAAATATATATGCAATGGTACATATGTATATAGAACAAGCAAGAAAATGTTAATTAACAGAAGTTGAAAATGGCCATGCTCATAATTGTCCATGGGGACTGTCAACAGTTATCCCTGCCATTGGAGGTCACGAGGATTTGTCATTGAGTGTGATCCACTTTAGCATTCTTTGACTTAAAGTGGAGCAAAATAGTCCTTGTTGGATGTCTAAAATAGTGGTAAATTTGCTGGCTGGAAATCAGAAAAACTAGGTTCTAATATTGAGTCTGTACAGCCTTGCTCCACTCTGTGCTGCCAATTTTCTTAACTGTGAGATTGAGTAGATATAGCTTCATATGCATGTAAAATGAGCTATTTAATCTCATTTTAAGTGTTAGAAATAGAACACTTAATATCGCTTGGTTTCTCAGATTTTGCAATCAGAAATATTATAGTTTGTTATATACCCGATTTTTAAACCTGCTCTCAGTTCTAAAAACCTCATTTCATGATTGCACATAATTCAAGTTTCATTCTTTCAAGAATAATATTATCAGCACTGGTAAAATGCCTACTAGTGATAACACCTCATGGGGAAGAAGATGAAAGCCTCCAAGAATTCACTCTTACCACCCTCTGTTGTGTTGCACATCACTTTGAATTGCTTCACCGGCACTAGTCCATATTCTCAGAGGTGGAAACAGACAGCCAGAAAATAGAGACTGGAGCAGTACACAAAAGGAATGACCTCTAGTGGGTTCATGGTCTAAAAATAGCACGGTGAAACTGGTACGTTGTTTTTGCTATTTTGTTTGCTCGTACTTTTGTAAATACACATAAATTAGCTATTCACCCCTGCCTTGACACAGTGCTCTAGTTTACCCATTCACAGCCCTCCACATCCCCTACTCCCACCCGTTTCACCCGCCTGCCCCACAACTCCATTGTTAGCAGCAGTCACCAAAGCACAATTCTGCTCACCATTAATCCTTGTCTTCTCTTGCCTTCCACAGTACAATCATCTCTCTATTTCATTCTTTGCTCCCTGTCTACAACCTGCACATAACTACAGTCAGCCAGAGAAGTAGCTACTTTTGTACTGGAACATCACAAAAGAACTCTTCTTTCTACTCAACACAATTATGAAGGAAACATACGATTGCTGTTTTGTAGAAGCTCCTGTCACTTGGGGGAAGATTCTTCTATTCTTTAACAGGGTTTCAGACCTCATTTTTAAAAGGAGGACCAGGAATCTTTTCAAACAACTTATCTTTTAAAAACATTTCTAGAGCACTTATTTTGATACAAAACTTAGCTAAAAATTTGTAAAGCATATCTTAGAAATCTAAACGAATTACATTTCATATTTTTCATGTTTTCGCAAAAAATATCTTATTAAATAAATCAGGTCAAAGACAGGCAGTTAGATGATGGCAGAAATATATTCAAGGTGAGGACTGTAATGATTGAAATCTGCAAAAATATTAAATTTTACAGTGATTTCAGTAGAGTGAGATAACATTTAAAATACCTGTGCTGATAGAAATGAAATATTGCAAAAGGGTAAACATCAATGTTCTTATAAAAATAACAATAAAATACATTTTCCAATATTACAATAGTCTTTCAAATAACACTCTTCAAAACTGCTGCCCTGGCATACACAACAGAATCTTCCTAAAATAAACTAACAGCGCACGATTGTCTTGGGGAAGGATCCTCCCTTTATTGTCCCAAGTCATGTTATTCTCTTAATGACCTTAGTTTTATTTGAAGTTTGGTCGGGTGTGTGTGTGTGTGTGTGTGTGTGTGTGTGTGTGTGTGTGTGCGCGTGCGCGTGC